AAAAAAAAAAAAAAAAGAAAAAGATTATATGGCGCTAGTACAGTCAATAGAATAGACTAGTTCTTAGACTGTGCAAGAACTGGCTGGGGAGTAAGTGGTAAACACAACTTAGCTGTTGTCTCTGTCTTCCACGTAGGACCAAGATGGGCTATGTAAGCCCTTAGTAAGGGGTGTGGCTCACAGTCCTGGGTGGGAAACCCACCTTTCTTCCTGGGGAGATTTTCCTCCTGTACCCAGGCAAGTCGCAGGCCCCTGGGGACCATGTGCTAGGGATGCAGCTGAGCCTGAGCAAAGGCCCATGGTGGGTCCAGAACAGGGCCTGGCAGCCTCCCCACTGGGGGCCGGCCAGAGGGACCCGTCTGGTTTGAGTTCTTGGCGCCTCGTGCTCCCTGCCTCAACCCACAGCCCAAGCTGCCAGGCCTGTGCCTTATTTGGGTTTCATCTCCCCCGCATCCCCCCACAGACGACACTTCATGACCTTAAAAGGCAGACCTGGGGGGCAGAGGAGAGTGTTGCCACTGCTGGCTGAAGAGCCCCTCCAGCTGCGTCCCCGCCATCGGCTTGGCCAGCCTGTCCCTGCAGCTGTGCCGAAAGCCAGACCGGCCAGGCAGGCTGCTCCTCTCAGAGCGTGGGGGGAATGGGCGCCAGGAACAAGCAGCCAGCCTCCCTCTGGTTTTCATTTAGAATCAGAGCTGGATCCACTGCAGGCTCTTTCCACCAAGAGGGGCACAGAAAGCAAGGAGGGCAAAAAAATTACAGCCTCATTTATTGAGCACCTACTGTGTGCCACGCCCTGTGAGTGCACAGTGGGCCCTTTGTGCACATCTCCATCCTTTAGGCCTCACACCAGCCTGGGAGGGACAAACAGAGGCCTCGATATCCCATTTTACAGATGAGAAAATTGGCAGGTCCAGAGAAACACACAGGTCAGTGAGCGTCAGCACTGTGACAGAGCCTGCTGTTAACTCTAACCTCTTAACCCATGTAGCTGGCTGGGATCGCTGGGGAAGCCCCCAGCCTTATCCAAAGTCCCCACCCTACGGCCAGGCGCTCTCACCAGCCCATCAGCTGTCAGCCCGTCGGGTGCCAGGTCTTGCTGTGTGAGCCAGTTCAACTGCTCCACCTCCCTGAGCCTCTGTCTGCCCCTGCACTTCAGCGGCCAAGGGTGTGTGACCAGGCAAGAATAGCATAGGCCAATAGGGTTCTCACCCCTCCATCCCTCAGCTGCAGCCTCCTCTGGCTTCGTGGAGCCGATGTGGTCGGGCAACACCATGCGGCGAATGGCGCTTCGGCCCCCAGCCTTCTCAGGTAGGTCTCGAGGCAACTCATTGGTGACTTCTGGAATGGGGTAGACCTAGAGGAATGCAGTAAGTTAACTGTCTAAGATCCAGCTGGGTCCAGCAGTGGAGCATCTTGGACAGCACCCTACTTTCTACCATCCATCCTGGAAAGAGCTTTGAGCCAGAAGGAAAGACCCCAGAAGGGAGGCAGACCTGGGCTCAGGCATCCCAAGACCCATGACCCCTGATCTCTTGCTGATGCAGGTCCAAGCCCCGAATTTTGTCTTTCTGTATAAACTCTGCTTTCCTGAGTGTCTGCAGTGTGTGAGGCCCCAGCCAGGTGCTTTCCATCACCAGCTCATTCAACTTCCCAGCTGTCTACCCACCCCCAGCCAATGCCTCCTTGACCCCATTGCAAAGAAGAGGAAACTGAGGGTCAGAGAAGAGACCTTCCCTGCCCCGCCCTGCCCTGCCCTGCCCCGCCCTTCCCCACCCTTCCCCACTCTGCCCCAGGACCCGAGCCAGGAGGAGACAGCACTGAGGCCGGCTCGTTTGTGTTGTGCTCATGAGACACGCTGCACATTTCCAGTGGGCCCAGGTTCCTCAGACATGAGCAGGGGTGGTGCTTCCCTGACCCATGAAGCTGTGGTGATGACCAGAGAGTCTAGCTTCTAAAGGCTCCTCACATGGCCAGAACTGTCACAAATACATCAGGGATGTCACCAAGGAGGCCAGAGGACTGGGCTATGCTTGTGTGAGAAGATCAAAGGGTAACCCCTCCGGGGCCAGCCCCAGCCAGGAGAGCTGGCAGGCCCAGGCCCCAGCCCCACCCATCAGAAACAAGATTTCCTGCCCTGGCTTCTGAGAAAGGGGTCACTTTAGATGCACAGGGGTGCTGGATTCTGCCCTAGGAAAAAAGAAGTGCATTCTGAAGGCTTTGGAGTGGAAGAAAACCTACAGAGCACGATATACCCTGAGCCGGAGGTGCTTCTGCAGCCCCTGCCCTGCATTCAGCTCCCTCCCTGGCTGGGGTCATTCTGTGTCTGTCTTCTCCCTCCATCCCCCGCTCCAGGGCTCTGGGGGTCACCCAGGGACCAAGATTCCTCCATCCCTCAGGTTGTCTCAACTGCAGCAAAGTGACAGAGCTGGCCGAGCGACTGACAGCACTAGAGGCCAAGGTGGGTGAGCAGCTGCCCCTGGACCTCTGCCCTCAGGCCCCCTGGAACCCCCTACACTTCCTGCACCCCCATGCCCAGCCTGTTCTCATTCCCACCCACAGTGCAGCTCTGAGCTGCCATACTTACTGCCCTGGGGGCTCCTTGTGGACCTGACCGGCGGCTTCCCAGACAGCCATGTCCCTGCCTCCTGCTGGTTCCTCACCAGCTCTCTTCCGCCTGTCCTCCAGTGCCACCCTTGAGAAGCCCCCTCAGTCAGAGGGCCTGGCCTGTGCATCCTCCAGAGACTGTGATACTCCCTCCCGTGTGGTCAGGCCCAGCCGGATGAACGCATGTTCCCCAGAGCTTGTTGCTGGATCCCCTCCTTGCCTGTCGCCTCCCCTATAGCAGTACCATCTTCCAGCTTCAAAAGCAAATCTATTACACATTTGAAATCATTTCAAGATGAAAATGTTTTTAAATTGTGAAATATAATAGTATACAAGGATTCTACATATGGAAACATGAAAAACTCAGAAATGTGGAAAACCTGCCAGAAATCCATTTGCAGCAGGCACCTGTGCCACTGGAGAGGGTGATTGTCACCTTTTTTTCCCTGAGACCATGTCTTGCTTTGTTACATAGGCTTGTAACTCCTAGACTTAGGCCATTCCTCCTGCCTCAGCCTCACAAGTACCTGGGAGTACAGACATTTGTTATCACCTTTGAGTCATCTTTTCCTTTCATATTTTTCAAACATAGACATGTATAATAATCTGTGTATACTTTGCTCCATTATCCCCAACTCTATTTCATTTCCCTTCAAATTCAGCAAAAATCTCAATAGTAGAGGAGGCCCTGGGTTCAGTCCCCAACACACACACACGCACACACCCACACACACAGCGAAAGAGAGAGAAGAAAATTAGTGAAATTCCTCCCAGTAATATTCCTGTGGAGCTTTACTGAACCAAGAGAGGAATCACACTATTTGTGGGATGAGCACAGAAAAGAATACATAGCCAACAAACATCTCCATCAAGAACAGCCAGCTGACAGTGATGGTATATAATGGCTTTTCTACAATGTTTGTAATGAATGAATTGCACACTTTGCAAAACACAGGCACTTCTCAGGGCTGGAGATGTAGCTAAGTGGTAGAGTACTTTTGCTTAGCATGTGCGAGGCCATGGGATCCATCCCCAGAACCATGGGGGAGGGGCACACAGTTACTTCTGATGAAGTTCTGGGCCCTGCAGCCCAGGACTCCACTCCCTGCTGGGCTTTACTAGCACCGTGGACTCACACCACCCACACCAGGGCCACTTTGCAGGCCTGTGTCTGATGAGTCCCTGGCACCCATTCCATCCCTGTCTTCCTCTTCCTCTACAGGTAGCCATACTGACTGTCACCGAGCAGGCAGTTCCTCCAACCCTACCTACCCCTGAAGACCCTGCGCCACTCTGGGGCTCCCCAGCTGCCCAGGGCACCCCTGGAGATAGAGGCCTCCAGGGTGAGTGGATCAGGTGGGAATCACTCCCATGTGGGAATCAGGGCAGTGAGAATCTGGTCCCCATTCTGCCATGAACTACCTGCCCCCTCGAAGGCCTCCGTCTTCCCATCTCTCCAGTAGACCTGAGAGAACGGTCTCAGGGGCTCCTGAACCCTGTAGTCCTGGGAGGCCCATTAGCCCCAGCAGACCCCACCAGAGTGGAGTGGCAGAAGGGGACTCTGGGTGACTCTCCCCACCTCCAGGCCCAGCAGGAACACTGACCTTTTCCTACCCCCTCACCCCAGGGCTACCAGGAGCCAGAGAGACAGCAAGGGTCCCACTGCTCCCTCGAGATGGTAGGTGCTGGCTGAGGGGCCAGGGCTGGGGTGCAGGTCCAAAGAAAGTCCAGAGCTGCCAACCTCACATTCTTTACCCCTAGACCGAGTGGGTACGCGGGGGCTGCCGGGCCCCACCGGCCCCAAGGGAGATGCTGGTAGCCAGGGCCCAGTGGGAATGAGAGGCCCGCCAGGTGAGTGTCCAGAATGATGCCCTTTCCCCAACCCTGACATAGCCAGGTGGCCTGGCCCCTTTCACCCATTGGCCTCGGTGCTCTCCACTCTCTGGATTGCCCCACTCACTGCTGGGCTCCCTAAAACCCTCTCTCTTGGTTCACTCAGCTCATGCTCCTTGGGCAGCTATGCCCAGCAGGCTCTGAGCTGGGTACTGGGGGTTGGGAGTCAGCCCAATCCTTGCCCACTGGGAGCTCCCAGACCAATGGGAGGAAGCCCCGGCAGAGGAAAAACACCGGTGCCCACCCATATGACCAGGGTTCCTGTGGTGGATAATGATGGAATTGGGGCCCTGAGAAAGGAAACCAAGACCAGTGTGGATGGGACAAAGGACAGGGTTCTGTGTTTATGCTTCTTGTAGACAGGTCTGGGCTGTGGACTCCAGACCCCTCTCTCACGCCTGGTGACCCAGGCTGCCTTGTCCTACCTCCTTGAGGCCACCCTAGTTCTCCCTGCCTCCTGTATACCCCCAATTCCTGGGATTCCATTGCAGGTCCACAGGGTCCACCAGGAAGCCCTGGCCAGGCCGGAGCTGCAGGCATCCCTGGAGAGAAGGGACCTCCAGGCCCACCAGGGCCTCCTGGCCCCCCGGGACCCCCATCCCCTGTTGGGCCACCTTATGCCCAGATCTCCCAGCATGGTGAGTCCCTGTGGGGTGTTGGTAGATTGAGGTGGGGGTTGGGGGGGTGGGGGAGGCTAGAGTAGCCATGAGCACTGTGCCTGCTGCCATCTAACAGGCACCTTCTGTGTGCCAGGTGTGTCCAGTGTAGAGTACATGTCACCCAAATATCCAGTAGACATTGTTGTTCTTTGTTCACAGATGAGGGACACTGAGGGCGGGAGAGAGAGGAGATCACTTGGTACAGTCTAGAATACGGGAGTGGCTTCAGACACACATGCTCAGAACCATGGGCATCAGCCCCTCCCCAAACTTGGAGCTGGCTGAAATTCAGCTCTTACAGTGCCAGGAAGCTCAAGTCCTAGAAGCAAGATGTGCACTCCAAACAGTCAAGGGCACAGCCCAGACCCTGGGCTCACAGAGGCCCCAGTTTCTCTGCCAAGCTAGGCCCTGACGTGCATCTCTGGCCTCCTTCTTGTGCTGCCAGGGATCACAGCATGGAGTGCCAGGTTCAACTCCATCTATATCAGGTCTTTGGTATATGAATGGGTGCCATTCATTACTTCATTCTCCCATCCCACCCATCATTCTCCTTCTGCCAGCCTTGCACCCATCATTTCTACAGTGGGGATAGTGACAGTGCCAGCCTCCCAGAGCTCTGTGATAGAACCCTGGAATGCTGTAGATGGTCAGTAAGTGGTAGCTTTTATTATTTCATTTGACAGGCAGCATTCATGTTCAGTAAAGCGGAGAGAGACTTTCTAGATGTCACTGGCTAGACTGCGGTGGAATTAGAATCCAAGCTACCCTGCCTTCTAATACTACATGGCCAACAGTCTCTCTTCTCTCCATCCTAAGGGCCCCATCCATGCTGGCAGTTGCCCATAGGACAGTTGGGGCTGACTTTGCGGAGGTGGCAGGTGAGCGCTGCCATACCCTACCCAACTCTGTTCACTCACTATCTTTTCTCTTGCAGGGGACTCATTACTGTCTAACACCTTCACTGAGACCAGCAGCCACTGGCCTCAGGGACCCACTGGTTCCCCAGGTCCTCCTGGCCCTCCAGGACCCATGGGTAAGTCAAGTCCAGGTTTGGTGTGAAGGATGGAATTGGTAGATCGCAGATAGTCCTGTGGCTATCAGAGTCAGCAGGCAATGTGCTCTTTTCCAGTCCTGAGGACATCCTGTCTTATTCCAGGTCCCCCTGGACCTCCTGGCCCCACAGGGGTACCCGGGAGTCCTGGACACATGGTGAGTCATTCTCCAAGTGCTCCTACCCTGTTTCTATCCATGCATTCATCTACTCATCCTTCACTTCATTCATTCATTCAATAAGTACTTATTGAGCATTTGACATGCAAGCCACTTTCCATACATCCTCTCCTTCAATTCATGTAACAAGAAGTATTATTATTGCCTAAGGCCAAGAAAAGTGGAAATTTTGTCCTGGAACTGTGGCCAACAGCTGGCAACATCTGTGGGTTGGGTAGGGACTGTCTGGCTCAGTGTCCTGTTCTCTTAATACTGAGCTATATGAACTGTCCACTGTGTTCTGGGCATTAGGTATATGAGAGGCAGGCCAAGCTGCGACTTTCCCCAGCCCCTCTGCCTCCAATCCCCTGCCCAGTCCATCCTACCCCAGCACAGCACTAAGGCCCTATCTCATTGCTCAGGGACCCCCAGGCCCTACTGGACCCAAAGGAATTCCAGGCCACCCAGGACAAAAGGGCGAAAGAGTGAGTACCCAGATGGCCCAAATAGGGGATTCTGGGGAGCCTTAGGGGTCCTAAGTCAGAAGTCCCAACAGCTAACTTCATTCCTTTCTTCCCTCATGCAAAGGGAGCACGTGGGGAGCCTGGCCCCCAAGGCCTCACAGGGCAGCAGGTGAGTACTGATATCCACCTTATAACCATCCCTTCAGGATCCCACAGACCCAGGCCGCTGTGCTGGTTCTATCCAACACAACTGGAACCTCTAACCCTCCTCTGTGGTCCAGGACCCTTCTGTTCTATCAGTTGCTCCCCTGGCCCATCGTCTTCTTGGGGCCAGGCTGCCTCCATCTCTGTCCTGCTGGCTATCATAACTCTATATTTCCTTTTCTCTCTTTCCCTTCATATCTCTCTTTGATACTCTCCACATTTACAACTCTAACATAGATTTTTCCAATTCTCCTTTTGCTGTGGTCAATTTTTGCTTTATAGTTTTTGAATCTTTGTTATTAGGCACATACATGTTAAGGATTTGAGTGTTTTCTTGGCTTTTTTAATTTTATAGAAAAAAGGTAAAACAAAATTTCATAACAGGATGATAGGAGAATAACAATAGTTAATACATTGCATATTATTATCTTTAAAGTAGTCTCTCAGAGTGCAAGATATGACCATAAAAAATTCTCCAGTCAGTATTAGCACAAACCTTCCATTTCTGTTAACTAAGAGACACTAATAGTATAACTTGCATTTTTTTCTCCCTTTTCCCTTCCTTTCCCCTTGCCCCTGTCCTAGTTCCTTTTTCCTTTTAAACAATTTCTTCCCACTTCACAATAGCTATTGTACATTTTAAAACTTATTTATTCCTTCAATTTCTCACACCAGGGAGACAATACAATGTTTACACGTGTGAGTCTGATTTATTTCACTTATGGTCTCCAGTTGCATTCATTTACCTATAAAAGTCTCAAACTTATCTTTCTTTATGGCTGAGTAGTACTGTATTGCATAAAAATACCACAACTTTTTTATCCATTCCTCGGCTGATGGGCATTGGGTTGTTTCCAAGATTTAGCTGTGACAAATTTGTGCTGCTATAAACATGGGTGCGCATATATTGCTGTGAAATGATGTTTTTAATTCTACTAGGAAGATAGCCAGAAGGGGAATAGCTGGGTCGAATGGGACCTCTAATCCTAGCTTTTTGAGGAATCTCCATACTGATTTCCACAGTGGTTGTACCAGTCTGCACTCCCACCAACAGTGGAGAAGGGTTCCTTTTTCCCCACAGTCCCTCCAGCATTTGTTGTTGGTTGATTTCTTGATGATAGCCATTCTTTCTGGAATGAGATGGAATCTCCGTTGTTGTTTTAACTTGCCTCTCTCAAATGACAGGTGACTTTGAACATTTTTTATATTTTCTTTGCTGTTTGTACTTCTTATCTGAGAAGTGTGTATTCATCTCAGATGCCCATTTTTGGATTGGGTCTTTGAATTTGGAGGGATCTGATTTTTTTCAATTCTTTATATGTTCTAGATAAAAGTCCTTTGTCTGAGGGACAACTGGGTAAAATTTTTTCCTACTCTCTTGGTTGTCTTATCACTCTGTTGGTGATATCTTTGGATGTGCAAAAGTTTTTTAATAAGGTGAGATCCTAGTTGTTGATTCTTTGAAGTATTTACCATGCAGTTTGGGTTTTGTTTATGAACTTTCTGCCTATACCTATGTCTTCAAGATTTCTACCTACTTTCTCTTCCACTAGATTTAGTGTTTCTGTTCTAATATTTAGATCTCTTTTGACTTTAGTTTAGTGCATGGTGACAGACATGGGTCTAGTTTTAGTGTTCAGTAAGTAGAGTGCCAATTTTTGTAGCATCACTTATTGAAGAGGCTATCTTTCTTCCAGTGAATATGTTTGGCACCTTTGTCAAAGATAAGGTGGCTGAGTGTGTTTGTAGCTGTGTCTGCATCTTCTATTCTGTTCCACTGATCCTCAGGCTGTTTATCTTTATGGAATTCATGTCTCTATCTCTGGCAACACTGCCTGTCTGGAATTCTACTTTGTTTGCTATTACAGTAGCCACACTACTGTTCTCACACTTGGTAATTGCATGGTATGCCTTTTTTGATCTTTTGTCTTTCAATATCTTTGTGCCTTTACATTGAAAATGCATCTCTTGCAAACAAAATATAACTTCAGTCTTTCTTTTTTTCACTCTGATCATTTGGTGCATTTATATTTAAAGATAGATACATAGATAGATAGATAGATAGATATTGTTATGGTTCTATTTAAGATTGTCATATTTGTGATTTGTGTTCTATTTATCTATTTATTCTTTCTTTGCTTCTTTTTTCCTTTCTTCTTTTGACTTCTTTTGGATTGAGTACTTTTTAAGGTTCCATTTGGTCCCCTCTCCTAATTTTTTAGCAATACTTATTTGTGTTGTTTTTCACGATTGCCCTAAGAGTAGCAATTTCTGTCCTTGCTTTATCACAACTTAGTTGAATTAATAACATAATACTGTAGGCACATTAAACATTTATAATTCCATTTTCACAACTCCTTTCTTGTGGTATTACTGCCTTATATTATTTTCCTGCATTTGTTGTTGTTCTGCTTTTGTTTTTGTTTTGGTTTGTTTTGGTTTTTTTGTTTTTATTTTTTGGTCTTTTTGAGACAGGGTCTCACTATGCAGTTCAGGCTGGCCTTGAGCTCACTTTGTAGCCCAGGCTGATCTCGAATTTGCAACAATCCTCCTGCCTCAGCCTCCCAAGTGCTGGGATTACAGGCGTGTGCCACCACGCCTGGCTTGTTTTCCTACATTTATTATAAATCCTATAATATATTTGGGTGATGGGGAGTACTGGGGATTGAATCTGGGTCCTTGTGCATGTTAAGCAAGTGCTCTACCACTGAGCTACACCCTCAGGTCCATACTATTGCTATTGCTCTAAATAGCTAGTTGACTTTTAAAGAAGTTAAGAAAACAAATTAAAATATAGCGTTCCTGAGCCAGGTGTGGTGGCGCATCCCTATGTCCAGCACTGTGGAGGATGAGGCAGGAGGATCATGGCTTCAGGGCCAGCCTGGGCTATGTAGTGAGTTCAAGGTGAGCCTGGACTACATGGTGAGACCCTGTTTCAAAAAAACAAACAACAAAAAAAAGTACAGTGGGCCCTTTGTATCCACAGGTTGTGCATTCAGATTGCACATCCACATACTCAACCATGAATCAAAAAATTTTTAAAACAAAATTGTATCTCTATTGAATATGTATAAACATATTTCTTGTTATTATTTCCTAAACATTGTACTTTAACAACTATTTATGTGGCATTTCCATTGCATTAAGTATTTAAATTTTCTTCTAATTGTATTTAAATTGTCTTTATGTAGAAGAGAGTATCTGTAGCTTATATGCAAACATCACATGTTTTTATATGAGGGACTTGGACATCTGTAGATTTTGGGACCAGTCCCCCAATAGATACCCAGGGATGAATATAGTATTATTTACTGATGTATTTACCTTTTCTAATACGCTATACTTTCTTATAGATCTGGATTCCTATCTGATATCTTTTCCCTTTAGTCTAAAAACCTTCTTTTAGTTTTTTGTGTGTAGTGTGAGTCTCCTGAGAAAACTCTTTATTTTACATTAATTTTTGAAAGGTATTTTTGCTGGCCTTAATAACAAAAAACTGTAATCCCAGCAATCTGGAAGGCTGAGGCAGGAGGATTACAAATTCAAATGCAGAGGTGGGCGTGGTTGTGCACGCCTATAATCCCAGCACTCGGGAGGGTGAGACTAGAGGATCATTGCAAGTGTGACACCAGCCAGGGCTACAAAGTGAGCTCAAGGCCAGCCTGAACTGCGTATCGAAACCCTGTCTCAAAAAAAAGACAAAAAAAAAAAAAAAGCCCAGACTGGGCTTTCTAGTGACTGTCTTAGTCACTTTCTGTTATCACTGGGACAAACTTCACCTGACATCTGCAACCTAAAGGAGGAAGGAAGGATTCATTGTGGCTCAGGGTTCACTCCATGGTTGGCAGTCTTCAAAAAATGAACAGTACAGCAGAGGGGCATGTCAGAAGAAAAGCTGCTCGCGTCGTGCCGACCAGGTGGCAGAGAGCAAAGGGAGTGACTGGGAAGGCAGATAAACCCTTCTAGGCCACACCCCCAGGACCAGCCTCTTCCAATCAGATCCAACCTCTTAACATCAAACCAGCTGTAAATCCCCATAATCCAATCACCTTTTAGAAGCCACACCTATGAGCAGGAGACCCTTGGGGGACATCTAGATATAAACCATAACAGTGCTTTAGCAAGACCCTGCCCCCAAAAATAAAACCGGCTGGGTATGTAGCTCAGTGTGAAGCCCCTGGGTTCAATCTCCAGTATACACACACACACACACACACACACACACACACACACA